AGCCCCCCTCCCCTCCTGGCTGCTCTCCCCTCACAGTCCACTCCCCACAAGGCCCCTCTCCCCTCACAGCCCTCTCCCGACAGGGCCCCTCTCCCCGCACAGCCCTGCAGCCCATCACGAAGGGGCAGGGGCCAGCTACCCCCAGACACTCCGGCAGAGGCCGGGACCACCCCCCCCACTCTCCGGGCTGGGGTCTCACAAGCTGAGGGGTTGAGGGGTCAGGCCAGGGACACCCACATGGGCAGCAGGACCCTGGCCCCTCGCTCTCAGCCATGCTGGAGCTGCCTGTCCCTACGTCAAAAATTTCTTAGGGATGGGGATAGCGAATAGATAATGAAGGCTGCGACCCAGTTAATGGCTGAAGAGCTTCCAACCTTTCTGTGCTGGGCTTCGTGACTTGCTGCCCCAGCTCTTCCCCGGGAGCCAGGCTGGGGGGCTGATCACAAGGGAGATGCCCAGAAGCTAGAAACACGCGGATGAGTTTGCTCCTGCAAGCACGGAGGATGTGTCTGTCGCCCCTTGCTCCCCCGGACCGGAGGCTGTACAGGATTTACCTGGGGGTTGCAGGAAAGCTGGGAGCAAGAGCCCCGATGCCAGCCTAGAAAACCTCCGTTGGCAGCGCAGCCACTTTCTGAACGTGGGGATTTTTGTTTCTTCCTGTTCCAAAGTTATAACTTTCCATTTGACAGGAGAAATTTCTCTCAGGCTTTTCCATGCCAGCCTTTTCCAAGCTCTCCAGCGCGACTTGCTCCCTTCTGCTGCATGAGCTACTGGGAAATGATCATTCTCATTTTCATGTCTCATTTTAACAAGGCACACTCCCATGAGTGTCTTCAATAAACTAACACCATTTTGTCCAGAGCCACAGTGAAAGTTACAGGCCCCAAGTGGTCTGAAGCTCTGCTTCTGCCACTGCAAAAGCCTGCCTACAGCCCAGGGCTTGGTTTGGTTTTTCCACCAGCCACCCTCCCTCGTTGGACTCTGGCAAAGCACACATTGACCGCGCTCTGCTGTGCAAGCTGCCCCTGGGCTGACACAAAATCATCAGTAAATAATTTTGCAATCAAAGGTCACAGTGGATCAGACTTTCGAATAGAGCTACTCCTGTTGAAAGTTAACCATGGGGTATTTGCAGCCAATGGTCCAACATAAGCAAGAGAGGAAGGTTTAGGGAAGCAGCATAACCTGGACACGCAGCAGGGACAGTAGGAAGTTCCGAGCACCTGCATCCAGCCCCAGGACACAGGAGGGCTCTGGCAGGGGTCAAGAGAGTGCAATGAGGAAGGGGGTGTCTGGACAGGCCTGAGCAGGGCAGGCCGGGGAAGCCGGGGCACGAGACACTGCAGCACGGCCGCCTGAGCAGGAGGCACCGAGGAAGAGCAGGCAATCCAAACCAACAGCCATGGTACGCTCGGCAGAGTGCTGGAAATGAGCTCCGGGAGTGAAAATGAGAAAGGCAGTGTCTTCAGCTGGTGTTTAATAGGAAGCTGGCTTTGAAATTAGTAATTTTCAGATGTAGAGAAGGCACGTAAATTTGAAGACAGCTCTCCAAGATCAGCTCCATTTTCTGTGAATAATTATTGAAAAAAAAGAAGAAAAAGATTATGGCTTCTCAGAGCAGCCCATATATGCTAATCACATTGCTAATTACAACAGGGAAACACGGCCTGTTATCTTGAAACACGGCAGATGCTGTCACACCACCAAAGGCTGTTCCTGTTGCTCTGGCATATTGCAACGAGCCGCGTGGAGAAGCAGAACGCGAATGCGTGGGCAGGAGAAAAGCAGCACCATCAGCGAGACTTTGCCGCTGCCCAGTGGCTCGGGTCACTTGAAGAAGAAGCCATATTTCAGCGGGTCCTCCTCTTCGACAGTGAAGGTGGCTGTACCAGTGTAAAAGGCTTCTCCTGAGACTTCCACAACGACAGCGTTGTACTTCCCAAACTTGGCTTCCTGCAGAGGGATTAGGATCAGGACAGAGGCGGACAGGAGGTTTTCTGCTCTCCCAACCCCACGGAATGCCGGCGTTACCCAGCACTTAGGCAGAGACACCCCTCACCGAGCACTCTGCCCTGCCCAGGTACATCCCAAAGTGTGCAGCAGCCCTTTTACCGCCTCACCTTGCCTGCACGAGCTCCACACCTGCACGACTGCTGCTGCCCCTGCTCTAAGCTCGCGAACCCCTGCACTGCCACAGCCTGGATTTGCCTCAAAGGAGGCCGACAAGCTGCCAAGGTGCCCAGTCCTTTCTCGATGGCTGAGGGAGGATTTGAAGGGAAGCCATGCAGCAGAACAAGGTCTTACTGTCACTTGCTTCCCTAATAAAAAATCTTGAAGCGTGAGGCTTGCGGGAAGGCAAGACCCCCAGGCACCTCTCTCCTTCCATATGCCCTTCCCCAGGCATGGAAAGGCTTTTCTGCTTCTCCACTGAGTCAAGGCAACAGCACTTTTCCAGCAATCCTCAAGACAGAGGGAAAGTCCAGCACAAGCCACTTGCCTGCACTGCCTTCCCGGTGAACAAGGACCCCGTGGTACTGCTCCGAAAGGTTCTGGTCTGGTTCAGCTGGATGAGTCCCTTATGGTACTGCAAGGCGATGCGGGCTGTCACACCCGAACCTGTTGGACTTCGGTCAACCTACATTCAGAAGAGAAGATGAACCAGCTCTAGTATTTTGGGTTTTAATAGAAGACAATATTGCTCCCCTCAGTTCTCTTTGCCACCTTTATACTGTGCTTGAGGGAAATCCGCCTAGCCCAGGGGTTTGTACAGAATCCGGATATATCACAAATGAGAAGACAAAATAAGCAGGTTTGGGGTACTTTTGGATTGCGATCAGCTTTGGCAAACTAGTAGGGATGAGGGATCTAATAAATATTGAGGCTATTTAGGGAGTGCTTGAAAGCTTCCCAGCACCATAGAAAAAGGACTGAGAGGGGCAGAGGGCACCTTCCCCATTCTCACGCGTTGAGGTAGGACCAGGGCTGCTGGCCAGCCTGGTTTTTAGAACCTCCAAAAATACAGCATTGGCCAGCTTCCGAGGAGATCTGTTCCAATGCTCCACACTCCTCACTGCTGGAAAGCCCAACCAAAACTTCCCCCGATATTTATGTGATACCTTATCCACGGCAGACAAGGATAAAAGTTTACACCCCCTCTTTTCTCTCCAGCTCTCTTGATCCCTAGCAGCTGTTCCCTAGATTAGGACTTTAAGAACATGCACTATGTCTGTTGGGATCCCACCTCAGCCCCTGAACTCCTGGGAAATTCCTAGCTAGAGGGCACGGGTATGAACCTTTTTAAAATGCCACCATCTAAGATGTGCAGAAGTACTTCTGTCATCAGGAGCTAAAACTGCCTATGTTAAGTGACACTCAGCTCTGCAGAGCCATCACTGTAGCAGAAGCAATGATCACTGCCCAAAATGAGAAGAAGCAGAACCGCCCCTCATCTCTGAGGAGGCTGTAAGAAGGGAAGAAGGTGGTGCCTTGTGTGTCTGAGAAGAGCCCGTTTCTGTACCTGCTCATCAGCAAACACACAGATGTTGGTGGTGGGCTCCTCACTAAAGGCATCTTTCCCATCTGTCAGTATGGTGCCGTAGAGGAAAGCCAGGTCTTCACTTTCTGGGTGATGAAGCTCGAACTGGGAACAGCACAGACAGGTTCACCAACGCGTGCAGCAGTTGGGCAGTCAGCAGTACGTGCAGCACAGCTTCCTCAAGAGACCAGAGGAAGGGGACAAGGCTCCACTGCTGCGTTTCCACCTCTGTTTCTCCAGTAACAGAGACGGACGCAGCAGCAGGAAAGCAAACTCCCTTCTCATGTCCTTATGAGGCTGGAGGAGGACTCTGAAATTCAACATGGGGCTGGAAGGATGGGACTGGCTCCCATCCTGAGCATCTTGGGGGAATAAAGGGCCTCAGTCTGGTGCAGTCACCCCAAACACACTGGGGTACCACAGCACGCTGCCATACCTGTTTCTTCACCGCTTCCGTCACTGCGCTTGCCGCACTGACGAGGTCTCTGGTCTTTGAAGAGCACACATCGAGGCCCAGCTGCTCGGCGCTGAGAAAGGCATAGAAAGTGCCACCATAGCCGATGTCGACCACCACCTTCCCGTGACCAGGAACGTCGACGGCCAAGTCTGGGCAGAGAAAGGGAGGGTAGTGAGGAGGGGAAACCATGCTGAGCGGTGGACTCGCACGCGGAGCAAGGGAATCCGGCTGCATGCAAGGAGGAGATGGGGACAACAGCTCGAGTACTCCCATGCCTGAGTGGCATGTGACGCCTTCTACCATCCCTGACGGCCTCATCCAGCCTCTGGGGGACATTGGAATTGGGGAGGGATTTGCAAGACCCCCCTCAGTCAGGCCGCCAGCCCCCAC